GCCATTACCTAGAGAGGAAGAAAGTACGGAAAATACTCAATGTACAAACTCTAATCAGGTATATAAAAGGTCATTTATCCCACACACACAGAAAAAGGAATGCTAAGCATAAAATAATCATAGTAAGCATTACAGAATATTTTGAGCAGAATTCAGTAACTCACTTATGACTATCATTGTGATCTAATGGAAGGTTGTTAGTTAAACCTTATCAAGACATAACAGAATTTGACAGTTCAGCTAATTAGTCTTTTCACATTCACCTCTGCATTGGACATTGTCCAATCACACTGCTCATCTTAATTTTCTTTCAGGTGGCTTCTCTCCTGGCATTGATTGAACCATCCAAATGTAGATGTTGCCTCCAGTGCCATTAGCCACTGTTGCTTTAGTGGGGGTGAGCTACTCCCACCAGCTTGCTGATAGAAGAAGCCATTGATACATTTTCTTCAGACCTTTCAGTGTTCATAAGGACAATGCTAGAGGAAGAAAACACACAAGAGAGGCAAAGGCAGCCAGGTGTCACAGTATAAACCCAAATAGTGGAGTATCTGCTCCATGTGGGGAATTGTGGCCCAAGCTGCTATTATACTGGGATAGAGAACTGTCCTTCACCCTTCCTTCAGATCACATCTAGTCACCTGAAAGCTTACATCCCAGAGAAGCCACTAGCTAGAAACTACCTCTACTTCTACCAGATGTGGCATTAGCTCTTCCAGCTCCACAAACAATCAGGGAATTCTTGGCAATAAGTCATACATGGCCAGAAGCCAGCCCCCAGAATTCTATCAAGATTGACTGACATGTCAGCTGTACATGTCCAGTGGAGGGTGGGGAGATGGAAAAGAAAAAAATAGAAAGAAAAGATTTTTTAAAAACAGAAAAAGGAAATATAATGCATTCAGTCTTTACCTAAAAGTATTGAGAAAATGAAAAAAAAAGTTATCAGGGAACAGAAAGAAGGAACCAGAAATGATTAAACTAAGAGTACCAATAAACAAACTAAGGGGGGGGGAGGGAGAGCTCGAAATAACCCAAATGCCCTAAAATAAGACAGTGGATAAGCAGATTCTGAGATTAGATGGATAGAGTACTTGTATATATACAAATGCACAAATGCATATCTATATGGTATAAATATGTGTGTCTATGTGTATACAATCCTTGGATCAAAGGGACAATTGCAAGGAACCATCCTTGTAGGTTGCTTGATTAATTGCTTGGCACTCCATGCCTGACTGAGGGGAGCTGGAGAGAAGAGGGATCAATCAATCAATATTTATTAAGCACCTATTATGTACCAGGCACTGAAAATATAAGGACACAAAAAATTTGTCCCTGCCCTTAAGGAGCTCACAGTCTAATAGGATTTTGCTCTTCTGGCTTCCAGCACCAAGAGAGAAGAAGCACCATTCCAGACTTTCCATGTCTATGAAAGAGAAGTCTCTGGGAAGAAGCTAATATGTGGAGGATCTGGCACTTCAGTCACATCCCTATTCCTAGCTTTCTATAGTAGGCAAGGAGGACTTCCCCTTGAATGAGACCCAGGGCTCTCTCCCTCTCTTGGTTGAGCTGAGTTAGTCACTCCCACTGGGACAGCTCCTTCACTCTGTAACTGGTATATGTTCTCCTACATATACTTCCTCTGATTCCTATTTTGCTATCAACTTGGATAAATGGGTTTATTTGCGATTTGCCATATGTGTGTTCATTGTGAAACTGGTATTTGGTGGGAAGGGAGTCAAGCCTTGGAAATATAGCTTGGAGCTTTGCTTTCCCATTAAGGAATAGCAATCATGAAAGTGGCTTGAACCTAAAAATTACTTCCCCTAGAATAACAATATTTAAGTGAGCAGGTGTCATTCTAGCTTAGTATCTTATCTCTCTGAGGAAGGTGGAGTGGCCTGCCTCTGCCCTCTGCCTCTTTCCCTTCTGACAGGAATCAAAGTCTGGGAGAAGAGGGGGGGAAGAGTAGGAATATCTATTCTTGCCTCCCTGCAATACGCATCACACACACACACACACACACACACACACACACACACACACACACATACACACACACATTATATCTATCTATACATCCATATACATATACACACATATATACACATACATACACACATATATACACACTATATATAGTATATACATACATATATATGTAGATATATATACATATATATATACACACATATACAATATACCATATATAGTATATATTGGAGTGGGGGTATATTGGGCAACCATACACAGTACAGTAAAGAAGATTCCACACTCTGGATAATACCTCAGAATATCACTAATTTGAGCTTAACTCATAAATCACTTTTTACCAGCCCCAGACCAGGCATTAATAGTGGCAGCAACAGGAGAAGATGCACATAATCCCAACCTAGGTAGCCATGAATTTATTTTAACAAATATCTAAAACAACTTAGAATTTTAGGGTTCATGATTCCCTATTATATAATGTCAATGTTGTGAGTTCTATTTTTTATTATTAATTTAGATCACTTAATTCACCAATGACCATTTACATTCACTGTAGCATATACCCACCTTTAAGGGAGGAGGGAGGCATGGTGATAAACACCTTTAATCTTTGCTGCTGGGGAGGCTGAGAGGAGGCTGGTGGATCACCTGAGTTCAGGAGTTCTGAGCTTCTGTAGGATTAGAGCCAATCAGGTGTCTGCCCTAAGTCTAGCTCCCTTAGCTGGGGGTCAACAGGCTGCCTGAGATGGACCAAACCATACCAGGTTGGAAATGGAACAAATCAAAGCTTCCATGCTAATCACTGGTGGGACCGGGCCAGTTAGCGGCCACACTACCCTTTCAGCCTGGACAAGATAGGAAGACTAGTCTCAATAAAAGTCTCTGTGTATACATATATTAATATGTATGTATGTATATATATATGTGTGTGTGTGTATATATATATATATATATATATATATATATATATATATGCATGCATGCATGTATGTATGGTAGTTCAGTGGAGAGAGCACCGGGCTTGAAGTCAGGAAGATCTGAATTCAAATCCAGCCTCAGATAATAGCTGTGGGACCTTGGACAAGTCACTTAATCCCTATTTACTTCAGTTCCTCATCCATAAAATGGGGGCACACTGGAGAAGGAAATGGCAAACCATTCCAGTATCTTTGCCAAGAAAATCTCACAGACAAAGGTCCATGAGGTCACATAGAATCAGATATAACTGAATAACTGAACAACAACAGTGAAATATGCACATATACAGGCATATAATAATCAAAATAATAGCTCACATTTCCATAGTATTTTCTATGTGCCAGACACTGTGCTAAGCACTTTACAAATATGATCTCATTTGATCCTCACAAGAATTCTGGGGGGTAGGTGCTATTATGATCCCTATTTTATAGATGAGGAAACTAAGGTAAGCAGTAGCTAAGTGACTTGCCCAGGGTCACACAGCTAGTAAGTTTCTGAGGCTGGATTTGAACTCAGTTCTTCTTGACTCCAGGCCTAGGGCTCTATCCCCTGCTTCACCTAACTGCCCTGAGGCAGATGAAATGCCTTGTGTGAGGAACTAAAAGAAGACTAGTTTGTCTCGACTGAAGAGTCTAGGAAGTGCAGTGATGAATAACGAAGTTGGGAAAATGGGTTGGGGGCCCAGGTTGTAAAGGGCATTAAGTCAAACAGAGGAGTCCATAGTTTATCATACAGGTATCAGTTTGTCCTTGTCACCTTTCTTAACATCTTGAGAAGTCACCTGGCATAGTGGAGAAAGGGATAGGCTTTGAGACCTGCCTCTGACAGATGTTAGTTATGTGATCATGGGCAAGTCCATTTGCCCCCAAATAACTCTCTCAGACTGTAAGTTACACAGGATTTAGTGATCTACCTCAGTGAAGGGGCTCTCCGCACTGAGAGTTCTCCACATTGATAAAATCACAGGCTTGGAGAAAAAAAAAATATATATATAGGAGGGTAAGGATGGGGAGGGTATTCCAATCAACCCACAGAGGGGTCAATGATGGCTTGAGGACAGGCCACGTTGTGAGAAAATAGTGGGCTACTTCAGAAAAGCCCAAGCCATGCTTTGTTTCATGCTCTAATTCCCTGACCTCTTCTCAGACAGCCTTGCTAACCACCTCCACCACCACCACCTAACCCTGCCCAGGTCTGGAACCATGGTTAAATCCGCTCTGTCATTTTTCCTGGAAAGGCTATGTCAGCCTTCTCCCCTATGATCTCACTCACCATCCTTGGAACTTCTCAAATGAAAACATTCTCCTCTTTGTGTTGTTCTCCATTTTTAGAATATAAGGCCTTTGAGGGCAGGGACTGTCTTAGCTTCTGTTTTGTGTCCTCAGTACTTAGCCCAGTGCTTGGCCCATAGTTGGCACTTAATAAATGCTTTTTCATTCATTTTTTTATTCAACGAGATGAAACAAAAGGAAGACCATGAGGAGTTACTCAGCTAATCAATAAATCAACAAACCAACAGATAGGTTCTGAGACTTTTAATTTTTTTAAGTCCTGATTTTATTTTTTATTTTTAATAGTATTTTATTTTTTCTCAAATACATGTCAAGACAATTTTTAACATTCATTTTTACAAGATTTTGAGTTCCAAATTTTTCCCCCTCCTTCTCCTCCCCCTTCCAAAAATAGTAGGCAGATTGATGTATGTTATACATGTTCTATCATAGAGAACATATTTCCATATTAGTCGTGATTGTGAAAGAAGAAATAGATCAAGAGGGGAAAAAAACATGAAAAAGAATGCAGTAAGTGGAAAAAGTATGCTTTGATTTGCATCCAGAGTCCATCAGCTCTTTATAAGAGGATGTGGATAGCATTTTCCCTTCCTTTGTACTTGTCTCGGACCACTGTGTTGCTAAGAAGACCAACCTCATGGCTGCTCATCACACAATGTTGCTGATACTGTGTACAATGTTTTCCTGGTTCTGCTCATTCCACTTTGCATCAGTTCGTAGGAGTCTTTCCAGATTTTTCTGAAATCTGCCTGTTCATCATTTCTTACTGCACAGTAGTATTCCATTACATTCTTTTCCTTTTTCCCTTATCATTTCCCTAATCATATTCATTTTACAATGAAGGAATTAAACCCGCCAAGGAGAATAATAACCTGAAGGAAGCAACATTTATCAACCTTGTCTGGGGCACCCAAGTAGCCTTGCTCTGAGATGAGATGCACCTAGAGGAAAAAAAAAATAATAACTTATGACACAAGTATGTTAAGTGCCAAATGAAAGACACAATGAATGCAATATGAGTTCAAAAGAGGGAGAGATCACTCTGGGCTAGAGTGAGTCTGGGAAGGTATCATGGAGGAGGTGAAACTTGTGCTTGGCATTGAAGGATGGATAGGATCTAAATAAGTAAAGAGGAAGGGGAAAGCATTCTGTCAGTTAGTCAGTCAGCAAACATTTAGTAACCCCCACAATGAGCCAAGCACAGTGCTAACTGCTTGGAACATCAGGGAAATGATGAACAATGAAATAGGGGCACGAAGGCTCCAGGCATATTCAGAGAACACTGAGAAAGACCAGGCTGTACCAGAGAGGAATATAGACATCAGGGAATATTAAAGAATCAGATTGAAAAGGTAGGTTAGGCCCAGATTCTAAAGGGCCTTGAATGTTGGGCCGAGTGTGGTTTGTGTCCTGATGCAATGAGAAACCCCAGAAAGTTTCTGAGTAGGGAAGGATACAGTGATAACGGGGGAAGGAGTGAATCAGGGGAGCCTGCTATCAACTGGATGCGTTCCTCAATAAATATGATGAAATTAAAGATGTGGCCCTTTGTTTAGTGCTATTAATGTGGCACCTCCCCATAAGGGGTAGGCATGAGCACTGGCATGAGTGTTTGCAGAGAAGGGACAGAAAACTCCTTTGATTTGTTCCCAGCGGCATTATAGTTCAAGTTTGAGAGTCCGCAAATTCAAGAGTTAGGGCACTGGCCTTCTAGATGGAAATTTCCTCAATAAAGCACTTACTTGTAGGAGAAGGAAGGGCATCTGGAGAACTGCATGCCCATGAGAAAAAGGGAAGGAGTGAAGAGGGAGATTCAGTACAATATGGGTCTGATGAGGCAGTTAGATGGCACAGTGGATAGAGTACCGGCCCTGGATTCAGGAAGACCTGAGTTCACATGCTGCCTCAGACACATAACACTTACTAGCTGTGTGACCCTGGGCAAGTCACTTAATCCCATTGCCTAGCCAAAAAAAAAAAAAAGATAAAAAAGAAAACAATATGGATCTGATGAGAAGGGATTGCTCGTTCTGAATGAAGCCCCCTAAATGTGTTTACCTTCCAAGAGATGTCTATTAAGCTATTGGAGTACTCTTTGTCATTCTTGTATCTCTCTATGAATTCCTTGAATACTTTGTATGTGATGTTTTTTCTGTGGAGTAAAATAAAAGCTGTCCCATACCTGATGTGCATTTAATACCTTGTGTGCCTGTGTGGGAGTTGGAGATCCTCTTACTCACATTTGAGGAAACTTAAACACAAGATACACCATGATTTTATTTAGAGATTTTTCTATAATAATCTGGGGGGGGGCAGCTAGGTGGCGCAGTGGAAAGAGCACCAGCCCTGAAGTCAGGAGGACCTGAGTTCAAATCCGAACTCAGACCAAACACTTGACACTTACTAGCTGTGTGATCCTGGGTAAGTCACTTAACCCCAATTGCCTACAAAAATAAAAAATTTTAAAAAATTAAATAATCTCTGTAGGGGCAACAGAAGCAAAGTGAAAAAAATGACCCTCATCTATCAGCCGTCAGATTGGCTATTGGAGCCAGGAGACTTTGGAGGGAGCTAGGCTACAAGTTTTCAAGATAAAACACCAAGGCTTCTGTTCTGGTGTCCAACCTTTCCTTTTGGGCTCTTCTTCCTCCCTTTTCTACTCCTCCTTTTTGGAGGCCCTAATCTTCCCACCTCTGAGCCTACATCCACCTGTCTTTCTGTTTTCTAAAGGCACAACCTAGATCCAGGGCCATGATGCTTAGAGTACTTCAGAAAGGAGCCTGACTCTTGGCTATTTTTTGCCTTAAGGGACTTTCATACACGTATACACACAACACACAAAAATGTTCAAATATACATAAACACACAGATACCCACAAAGCTAGAGCAAAACTGCCTTCCTGGATAGCCTTCATTTCTCCCCGTCACCACCTAAGTGTTCCAAGTCCAGGCAGTGGCTCTTTCCCTCTGGGTAATTAGAAGGAAGCAGTGTTTGCCCTCAAGGTCTCTCTGCCCAGAAAAGAAGACCATAAACATGGACATAATTTGTAGGTGGCAAAGGGAGAGAAGGTTAAAAGGTCAGATACAAGAAGCAAAACCCTTCTGTGCCATGCGGGAAACGGACAGATACTTTTATAACTCACAGTCCTTCCCACGTTTTTTCCCCCATTCCCCCTCTAGTCCCAAACACAATTCACAGTTACTTCATGCTACTCTCATCTCTTCTGTCCAAGAGAGAAGTATTTGAGAATTCATCCACACTGAGATGTTTTGGGACCTAAGGCAGAGCTTAATAATAAGCCTTAATAGCTTAAAACTGCACCCAGGCTTCTGGAACATCCTGTGTTCATCTGCCAAGGATTGTTTATATGTTAATTATTCAATTTGCATATTCACCCTGAGGATTGAGTCTCTAATAGGGAGACTTCAGGTCCTGAGACAGGCTTGTCCTCTTAAACCACAGCACGTAGGATAAGAGATATTGCACTTTGGAAGGGACCCCAGAGACAATCTAGTCCAATCTGGACCAGAGCAAGCATCCTCTCCACAACATTTCTGGCAAATGGTCATCTAGTCTCCACTTGAAGACCTCCAACAATGGGAAGTTCTCAAGCAAAATCTGGGCAGGAAGAGAGGTATGTTTTTCAAGGGATCTGAATCTACAGTTACTTCTAGACCTGAGCATCCTGGGAATAAGACCATGCTTTTTTTTTTTTTAAAGCAATTGGGGTTGAGTGACTTGCCCAGAGTCACACAGCTAGTAAATGTCACGTGTTTGGTCTGAGGTCACATTTGAACTCAGGTCCTCCTGACTTCAGGGCCAGTGGGCCATCTGGCTGCCCCACAGTATAAGACCATTCTTAAAGGTCTATAACTCTATCAACTCTGCTATATAGCATTCTCCATCCTCCTTCATAATGGAGAGTTAGGTGGTACAATGGTTAGAGCACTGGGCTTGGAATCAGAAAGACTCATGAGTTCAAATCCAGCCTCAGACACTTACTAGCTGTATGACCCTAGGCAAGTCATTTAACCCTGTTTGCCTCAGTTTCCTCATCTGTAAAATGTGCTGGAGAAAAAAATGTCAAACCACATCAGTATCTATGCCAAGAAAACCCCAAAAGGGGTCAAGAAACAACAGAACAACAAAAATCCTCCTTCATAGTAGGGTGGGCAGCAGTGGGGTATAGTGGTAAGACCACTGAATTAAGAGTTAGGGGACATGACTTCAAGTCTTAACTTGTATTAGTTACATGACTGTCCCCAAATCATTTTATGTCTCTGAGCTTTAGTTTCTTCATCTGTAAAATGGAGAAAATAATAACTTGTACTACCTTCTTTGAATGAATAAATGATTGAAGTAGCATTTATTAAGCATTTACCATGTGCCAAGAACTGTGATAAGCAGTGATTGATGCTTTCCATGAGGAAAGCACTTTGTAAAGCATAAACTATTTTGTTAATGTGAGTCAGTATTATTTTTTTTTCAGTTTTCAAGAATAGCCACAATGGTCATTGCTCCCCCACCTCACCCTGCCCCACCAGGGCATGATCCTGAATAGCCACCACATATCCTCAGCCACAGTCCCAATTCATGATTTCAAGATTTGGGGCACATCACTCTAAGCACAACTGGAGCAAACAGATCAGTTTGGGGCAAAAATTTCATTATATGTGAGTGGCAAGTTCAAGTTCCCTTTACTATGCCAAACACTGGCCAGGAAGTAGAAATACCCAGGTTCTATTCTCAGTTCTGTCATGAACAGGCCATGTCACCTCAGATAAGTCACAACTCTTCTGGCCCCCAATTTCCTCATCTATAAAGTGACATAGTTGGACTCTAAGACTTTAAGTAGCTCTAAAAAGATTCTGATTCTATTCCATCCCTGGCCACCTACGGTATGTCCAGTCCCCTTCTGGTAAGTAAGAAAGAAAGAGAGAGAGAGAGAGAGAGAGAGAGAGAGAGAGAGAGAGAGAGAGAAAGAAGAAAGAAAGAAAAAGAAAGAAAGAAAGAAAGAAAGAAAGAAAGAAAGAAAGAAAGAAAGAAAGAAAGAAAGAAAGAAGGAAGGAAGAAAGAAAGAAGGAAGGAAGAAAGAAAGAAAGAAGAGAAAGCAAGTTCCCTACATTGAAGGAATTTGTAATCCAATGGGAAAGATAAGACCCACACATGCAACATTTAAAGAATGAGATCAGAGTATATAGTTAAGTGATGAATTATTTATGCAGACTGTAGCCACTCAAAGAGTTCCAGCAAGGAAGAAAATAATAAAGTTTTGAGTAGCCCCTTCCCCCCTACTCCCACCAAAAAAAAACAAAAAAAATTGTTAAGTGACTCAGTACCTGCAAACTAAAGTTTTGCCTTAAGGCATTCTGTCAGTCAATAACTGTGAATTCCTTAGCCTGACATTCAAGCACCTCCAAACTATTCCATTACAAGGCATTCACCTCAAGGCAGCCAAAAACATAAAGACAAGCCAAAGGCATACGCCAAAATATTCACAGCAGTACCTTTTGTGTTGGCCAAAAAAAGGAAAAAGAAACAAACTGGGCCCATAAATTGAGAAATAACTAAATAAATTACATTCTATGAATATAATTAAATATTATTGCACATATAAGAAACATGAGGAATTCAGAGAAGCATGGGAAGACTTGTATCAACTGATACAAAGGGAAGAGAGCCCAGTCTGAACAATGTATACCAAGATGAAAATAATTTAATGAAAAAACAAAAACAAAAACATGAGAAGTCAGTCGAACTTAGAGTAAACAATGGCAAATCTTGGTCCTGGAAAACAAATGATGAAATTAATTTCCCTCCTCTTGACAGACAAAGAAAAGACTTCAAGTACTGACTGTTACGGAAGCTGACAAATGGGCTTGCTTATCCCCTAGTTTTGCTGAACTGTTTTTCATTGTTACAAAGGAGGGCTTACTGGAGGGGGCAGTATATATCAGTGTAACAGGGATGATCAGGAGATTATTGCTTGAATGACACAGAGAACTCCTGATTGGTCACTAGTCAGTCAATCAAATAATCTTTTATTAAGTGTTTACTATGTTCCTGGCACTGTGCTAAGAGAAAGGCGAAAGACAGTCTCGACTCTTAATGTGCTCACCCTCTAAGGCGGGAGAAAACATGGAAACAACTATGTATGGTGACTAGGCTGAGCAGAGTCATGGGAAATGGACTCTTGTGGAAGAATATCATCTCCCTCCTTCTGCCCCCCAACTCAGTCTATAAGAGTGCTTCACCCTTCTGCAGTCAAGCATTCAGCATCACTGGATGGGTCGAGCCATTGGAACCCCTGGGCTCAGGAAGCCTTTCCCAATCGCCCTGAAAGCTTATAATGCCTTCCCTCTGTTGATTATTTCACATTTCCCATCTATCTTGTTAACAGCACGGCTTATTTGTACATGGTTGTTTGGGTGTTGTCTCCCAACATGTGATGTGAATTCCTTCAAAGCAGAGCTTGTGTTTTGCCTTTCTCTGTGCTTAGCACAGTGCCTGGCTCATCATAGTGGGTTCCTAATTCACATTTATTGACTAACCAACTGCCTTCAGTCTCTGATTGAGCTACACTCTCTTCACCAGGAACATTACCAGGTCTATTAAGCTAGAACACTAATGTGTTCCTTCAGCAAGGTTAACAACGCTTATCCTAGATTTGACAGAATCCTTTTCTCTTTGGCTCTCTCTGGCATTGGTCTAAGGTTTGTCATTTGCATGAATGAAGACCTGTCCTATTCAAAAATTCTTCCTGCCTCAGAATTGGCTTCCCTAAGAGAGGGAACTCTAAAACGATCAATCACCGACGCTACCAAGGTTCCTATGGGGGTCTAATTGAAAAGGATGGTCAGAGAAAGATATTGAAGCAGCCTGTGCCCTGAGGCATCTGGCTGGCCTTTTCATAAACAATTAAGTTAGTCAATCTTCCGACCCTTTCTAAGCCATGCTATACTTCTTTTATATAGAAAAGGGTAAGGGTTTCCCCTATACATTTTAACATTCCTTTTGCTTTTGCACTTTGTTAAGTCTAAAGGGCCATTTCCTTACATACAAATATATATATATATATATATATATATATATATATATATATATATATATGTGTGTGTATATATATATATGTGTATATATGTATATACACATATATATATATATATATGTGTGTATATATGTATATATACACACACACACACACACACACATATATACACATATATATGTATCAAGTTGTCATACAATCTATTGATTATATGTATTACATTCATGATATGCACAAATGCTAGCTGCATCACTGGGGGACTTGGGATATTCAAAGCCAGCTGTGGGGAACATGAAAGGTAGCTCAGAGCTCACTACCACAGCCTCCTGTAAACTTAGACCTAGATCTCCTCTGGTCATTATTGTCCCCTGTCCTGCCTGCTTCTTTCCTTTGAGAACCATTCTACTGTGATGCAGTTGAAAAACTGCTTAACTTAGGTCAGAGGACCTGAGTGTAAATCCTGATTCTGCCATTTACTACATGTGTGAACTTGAAAGAGTCATTATACTTTTGTGGGCTTCAGTGTCCTCATCTGGAGGGCCAGTTAGGTGATGAGGTGGATACAGCACAGGGCCTGGAGTCAGGAAAACTGGAGTTCCAGTCTGGACTCAGACACCTAGCTGCAGAGAGAGAGAGAGAGAGAGAGAGAGAGAGAGAGAGAGAGAGAGAGAGAGAGAGAGAGAGAGAAGGAGAGACAGACAGAAAAAGAGACAGAGACAGGGAAAGAGAGAGAGAGAATGGATAATGCCAACCTCACTTCAGGCTGCTGAAAGAAAAGACAGAGAGGAAGCCAACGTAAGAGGAGCTGGGAGTCTGCATCACGTCTCTGTGTCCTACCTTTTTACTGAAGACCACACATCTTTTGGCACCTTCTCCAAAGTTGCTGCTCCTTTTTCCATACCTCCCACACACACATAGGGCCAGGAGGATGGGTTGGGATACTCTGCTTCCCACCACTTT